TACCGCGTCCAGTCATTTTTTTATTTTCAGTCTCTTTTAGCGTTGCTAAAATGAAAACAATGTCCGGCTTCGGCGGACTCTCGCTTATATAATAACGCGAGCTGCTCGCTGATTGGTCCGATGGCGCTGCAGCGCGATTGTCCAATCAGCGAGCAGCTATGCAAAGTCACTCTATATATTGTGCAATTTCCGCCCCACAGTTGGTTTCGATTACAAAAGAAAGACGTGACTTATAAAAACAAGAGAATAATTAACAAACAACACAAACACTCACATTCAGGGAAAGAGTTTGTGGTCACAGGTTTAAGAGTGACTTCATGTACAGGTAAGTTTTTGTGCGTAACACAACAAGTTTCAGCGTCAAAAAACAAAAACGCAGGACTTCAGAAATTAAATGAGCTTTACAAAGACTCTGGGAGAGGTGTCAAAATCTTTGGTTGCATCTTCAGCACCTTGGAAATAAGTAAGTAAATAAAAAAACAAACAAACAAGCAAAAAATAAAACAAAAACCATGCTTGTGTGTGTTTCTGCTACAGATGGCCGGCCAGCTGTTTTCCTCAGTGAGCAGCGATGAGCTAAATAACCGTCACAGTCACTTAATCATAGTGCCACAGATGAAATCCCCACTTTTTTGTGACAGCTTGTCATATTTGCTCTTGGAGACCTTTTCAGTGGTTCGTTTCCTAAAGGTGATGCACAAACTTTTGTCCAGAACATCTCTGAAGCGCCTGCATCTGGTTGGTCTGCATCCAGGACAGACTCTCTGATATGACCTTTTATTTCTAGTCTGGTTAGATTCAGTCACCGAACACTTTCCTTTCATCTCAGCACTTTTCTTGTCAGTGGTTCACATTCTGAAATATTCAATTACTTTTAATAAAAAATAACTGAATGCATGTTTTATAAAAAAAACAAATCCTCGATCTGAGGTGACGTCTTTGACGCTGCTCAACAGAAAACTTTAACGTTAAATGTGAACGGATCTATAAATCTGCCTAAAACCAGCCAACAACATGAGTCATGTGACGTGAGGATGAGAATAATAATCTGGGTCTCGGACCAGTCGATTAGAACTGGAGAAAGCTTTTGGGTGAAGGTGGAACGTCTTCAACACCCAACATGAAGCTCAGCTCGAGAACCTTTAGTTGTTGTATTTCATCACATCATCTTCATTTTAATGTGACACCTTTGACATCAATCAGTAAAATAAACAAAAAAAAAAACTGTTAAACTGTTTTAACACTTTTTCAAAACCAGACTAAAGTCTTCTAAGAATCCATTCAAATCCTTTACCCAGCATCAAGCCGATCCAAAAGCCAGAAACCAGTCTAAAAGTAGTTCAAAACCAGTCACGAACACGTCTAAAACCCCAAAACCAGCTTAATGAGCTGACAACTATTTCAAAACCAGCCCAAAGCTTTAACTCAGCCTAAAGACGTTCCTAAACGAGTGTAAAACCAGCAACAGTCAGCCAAGAAAAGGCCCAAAACCAGTCCAACAGCTCGAAATCCTAACCAAGACTTAAACCAGTCCAAAACTAGGTCAAAGCCAGTTCAAACCCAGTCAGAAACCTTAAGCCAGCCTAGAACCAGTCCATGAATAGCCTAAAACCAGGCCAAAACCAGAACAGCCTAAAATGAGCCAACAGCAAATTAAAAACCAGTCCAAAGCCTGAACTCGGCCTAAAAACCATCCAAAACTATTTTAAAACCAGGCCATAATCAGCCAAAAAAGAAAAACCCAAACCAGCCAAATAGTTGAAAACTTTACCAGAGACTTAAACTAGTTTCAAAACTAGACCAAAGCCAGTTCAACACCAGTCAGAAACCTTAACCAGTCCACAAATAGCCGCAAACCAGTCCAACACCTGAACCCAACCTAAAACTAGTCTAAAACCAGACAAAAGCCCGTCCAGAGCCCAACAACAGCCTAAAACCAGTCTAGAAGTAGTCCAAAACCTGCGTTAAACAAGTCCAACAGCTTAACCTAGCCTAAAACCCCAAAACCAGCCGACAACCTGTTCAAAATCTTAACCCAGTCTAGAACCAGTCCAAAATCAGACAAAAGCCTTTAAAATAAAACAAAACCAGTTTAGAATCAGACTGAAACCAGCTCAATGCTGGAAGATAACCGGATCAGACCTTCACACTTGAGGTTTTTCTGTTCATTCGTCACCATCATCAGTTTTCATCTCAACAGGACAACGTCATGGTGGTTTGTTCTGACCTTCCAGAGCTCTGAAACGTTCTGATCCGACTTCGACCTGCAGACGTGTGACTCTGAGGATTCTTTCACTGTTTAACCAAATACTGAGTCCTTTATGTGCCAAACTGCAGATGGTTTGCTGAAACCTGCATGCTGGAGCTTTGTCTGGCTCAGTGATGGAGGCTCAGAGGTCAGAGGTCAGAGGCTCCCAGAATCCTCCTGATTGGAGAACACATGTCGGCCATCTTGGATTGTAGCGGGGAAGAAAGATTGATGCGGTGAGCTGCTTTTTTAATGCCTTTAATTCATTTTATCAACGTTTACCGAGCGGAGCTTCCTTTAAAATGAAACCCGGCTGCTGAGGTTTTCATCTCGGAGTCTGTTTGTGGATTAGAAGCGGAGAAAAATCGGACTTTTGAACCGGCACTTCGGTTTCACAGCTTTTTGTTATTGTTTTGGGGAACTAACCGACGGAGCGCAGCAGGCCCGAACCGGATAAAACGCACCTGCCGCCGGTGTCCGCTCCGCCCGGCAGCCCGCCTGCACAGCCGATTCCAAACCGATCGTACCGGGTCGTTACATGTTCCTTTAAAGACTCTCAAGTTCCCCATTTAGCCGTTCTTCGGTTGCTGTTAGCGGAGCAGCTAGCTCGGTAGCTAGCGTTAGCTCCCATGCTAGCAGCCCCGTGTATTCCTATAGAGGTAGCTTTTAGCTTTTCAGCGCTGCTCGGCTAGCAGTAGCTCCTGACACATTTTACAGCTAACTCGGTAAATCCAGCTAATATCTGTTGTTTGTTTGCGGCCCACAAACAGAACACAAAGCGGGATAATCCGGTTCATGAATGCAGGCAGGAAACTAGCCGGTAGCATTCTGCTGGAATAAACGCACAGATTATCGGAGCTAGCGTTAGCTCGCATGGCTAACGTTAGCCTTTTGCGACACTGTTGCACCTTTTACCGCTGCTTTGAAACGAGACGAGGCAAAGCTGCAGGCGGGCAGAGCTGAAGCTTTGGAGGGTTTTATATCCCGAAACACACAGTAAGAAACGACGCACTCGTTCACACGGTTTAACAAAGACGTGGGAGCCCGGTTAGCCGCTGTTAGCTTCTGTTAGCTGCGGGAGTTCTGCTAACCTGCTCCAGTAAACAACAGGGATCTGTGCATGAAACTGTCCAAACAAAGCTGTGGGTCCTTATGGTTGAACAAACTACAGCTTTCATGTAGAAGCTCCTCAGCAGGTGTTAAACCGGCAGCTTCTCTTCCACTTTACTGTGACTGGTGACTGTTTGTTCGCATGTTGATGGATTCAGCAGCTTCTGATCAGTGAACTGATGGTTTGCAAACTTCACCTGATGGTTTTAATTTTATTTTTTCCATCATCAGTACCTGACTGAACAAAACACTGATGTGGTGACGAGTTCTCACTGAATCATAGTTGTGATTTTGGTGCAATACCTGCCAAAAATCAGTGCTGAAATAATACCACATGAAACACCTGAAGTATGAGAGGAAGTAATGTAGTAGATCTAATATATGTAATCCTGCACCACGGTGTCTTCATTAAGTCCAGTTCTTTGCATGTTCTCGTCTCTCCGTCTTCACGTGTTGCCTAAAACACCTTCAGTCTTTGCAGGTCGACACTGGAGCACTTTAATTTAATCTCCTGCTTTCACTCGTTCTGCAGGAGTTCAGTTGATTCAGTTGATTTTTTAGCAGCATGGAGTTGACGTCGGGTTAAATCAGATTCAAGCAGTTATCTGTTCACCTCGTTAAGCTCAGACGGTGGTAAATAAATTGCTCCTTTCACATGCATTTGAGGGCGTAGTGCTCTGATCTCACGTTCACCAACGTGCCGAGCTTAAACGTCGGCCTGTTTTGTCAGAGTTTTGCTCGTTTAAGTTGGCTCACTAACACTTTGTTAGGAAATAAATCCACTTTGAGGCTGTAAAAGGTGCCAGAGAGGGAAAAAAGCAGCTAAACGTGAAATAAAACTCATAGAAATGCACAATTCAAGTATCTGTGCTGGAAAAAAGTGGATTAAAATAATTTTTTTCCTGCAAGCCTTCGCGATACTTTTGTAATATCGGTCGACGGTGCGAAACTAGCATTTAACTTTATTACTGATGAATTGTTTTTTATTTATACTGAAAAGTACTGCAGTTAAACTTTAGATTTATTGTTTTGTCAGAACAAAATTCACGTGTCATCGTTCAAGATTAAGAAAAGACTCAGAAAAAACTTGTGATTTTTGAAGCAGAAACAGAATTTGTAGGATTTTAGTTGGCAGCAGCTCGACCGAGTAAGAAAACGAACTCAGTGAATGAAAGACGAGCTGCACTGAAACCTTCTGGGTGTTAAACTCTGGTTTTGGTTAATAAAAGTCTGGTTTTTGCAGGTAAAGCATCCAGACGTGCCGATGCAGCTCCACTTTCACGTTTCTCTCCGATGTGTTCGGATGAATCCCGACTGATGACACAGACGCTGATCTGATGATGTTGGAGACGATATTTGTTTAACTGATGTTATTTACGCTTCACAGGAGCTTTAACGTCACGAAACATTTCTGATGAAGCTCCTGCAACATTTTACGGTTGAACATGTGTTTAAAAACGTCTCGTTTATCTCCAGACGTGGACGTCAGTAAGAATATACTTGAGATAACTTGTGGATCTTATTCCAAGCATATATTTGCAAATGTTATTCTTCCATTTGAGTGCGTTTAAACGAGGGTTTGAGCTGCTAAAGATGCTAATGTGCACGTCTCCAGGATTTAAAAATACGACTTGAGGTTTAAAGAGGCAGATTGTCAGAGCTGGAAAAAAAAAAAAAGAGCTAGAAATCTGTATAATTTAATTTATTTGAGTTGCAGAACTGCTCTTTGACGGATTTGGATCGAGAAAAGGTTCAGAATGTGAGTTAATGTTGAGAAACGAAGGGTCACGTTCATGCATCGGTTCAGTTTCTTCACGCTTCGAGTCGAGTCTTTAGCGAGACGCTGCAGGTGCGTCGTCCAGGAGGACTCGCTTCACCTTCGTCTGACTGTTTTTGCTGTTTCCCAGGTGACACGCGGCATGTTTGGTGCTAACCGGAAGAAGTTTATGGAGGGAGGCTTAGAGAGCGACTACGCCGACGACTCCAGCCTCTACTACAGCCAGCAGTCCATGTTCCCTCCTCACCGCGCAGATAAAGACGTGAGTCCAATTAAAACCTCGGTCTGTTCACGACGTCACATCAGAGTGACTGAAAAAGGTTTAATGATCTGTTGTAATCCAGCACAGAACCCATGGATTAGATTGAAAAGAACCAGACGGATTAAAAGTCCAGAGAAATAAAATCCTGACGTGATATGAATTCACTGCAGGTTTGACGTGTGTGTGGAAACAGTTAAATCCTGGTGAATGTTTTCAGCTTTTATGTCTCATTAAAACATCTGATCAGATTAATAATCCTGTGTGTTTAGTCTTTGATCTGATTTAAATGTTTAACTTGAGTTTAGTCGAGACTGATGTTCTGACAACGTTTGAGAAATTTTGCTGATTTAGTTTGAAAAAAACGCTCATTCATGTGATTTTTTTTTTTGTTGAATAAATACGAAGTGCTGCGTCAAAAGAATGAAACATGATCAGCTGCTGTTTTTAGTGTTTTTGTTTGAGCCCAAAAAAGCCAAATATGTTCAGTTTCTGGTGTTGATTTCCTGCTCATCGTTGTTAACAGACCTTTGATGGTAAAAACGAGAAATTTAAAGACGTCACCTTTAACTATTAAGTCAACAGACTGATCAGGAGTTTCTGTTTTCAGAGGACATTCGGTCCTGCAGAGCCGCCTTCTCTGGAGGATTTGTTGTGCAGCGTGAGCTCGTGAGATGCTGTTCTTTGTTGATGTGGTTTTGTGTTTGCGTGCAGCTGCAGACTGAAGCGTGTGTTTGTGTTTCAGATGCTGGCGTCTTCCTCTGCTTCCTCAACGGGTCAACTGTCACAGCTGGGAGCCAGTCTATATGGACCGCAGAGTAAGAACCAACGCTCACAGACTCACCTGATCCACCTCAAAACCATCCGCAGCAGGAGGCGTGTTCCCTCCTACAGACGCTGTAGAGACAAACTGATTTTCCTGCTGAGTTTTATTAAGTTTGCATCTAATAAACCCACATAATCTGACTGGTTATACTTATACAGCCCCCGTGTTCACCGTCGTTCTTTTAATTTGCGATAGAGAGCAAATGTGGGAACGTTTGCTGTATTTTGTGGGAAGTTTTTCTACATAATAAACCAGTAGAAGGAAACAGTAACCCAGTCTGACCAGTTAAAGTGACCGCTGTTGGGTTGTGGATTCGTTTTAGAGCCTTTACAGGAAATAAAAGCAGCTGAAGATGAATAATCCTGATTCCTACCTTCGTTTTTCTGATAACATCGGACTGAAATTGTGCAGGTGGATTAAAAAGACGAAGCTGAACCTGGAGGTGTTTAATTCAGACGTGAGGATTGAGCCGCTTAACGACGTTCTGATTACCTGCTGCTTTTATTGATCGTCACCGATCATAATTTATTAAATCATTTAATCGTCTTCTGGTTTAGTTTGAGGATGATCCCACCAGAGTCGTTTAATATTTAGTCTGACGCCATCGTCCCCCAAAAAATAAATTCAATCTGATGTGTTTGCAAAACATCAGCATCAGTGTGTGATCGATCAGCCGATTGATGAAGCCGCTGATTATTTGTTCCACGTCTCTGACATTCTGCCACCAGCTGCTCAAGGATTCAGGGAACGAAAATTAGTCCTCAGGTCTCGTTTATTTAAATAAAAAGCCTCATAAATAATCAGACATATCTCATATCGTTCTCTCCCTGGTTTATGTTTATTTGTCTCGTGATTAATTTCTGCATTTTTTTGCTGTTAAATGTCGTTTTTATCTCCACGTGTTCTCATTTTAACTGACCTCATTTATTTATGTTTCGCTGCTGATTGTGGATTTTTGCATCTATTTATTAGTCGTCTGTTTTTACAAACCTCTTGATTTTATCTTTGCACATCGTTTTTAGCGTCTCATTGCTTCTTCACATTTATTGCTGTTTAATTTTAGCTGCTTTTTTTTTGCACCTCAGCTCGTTTAAAAATCAGGATTTTCCTTTAATGTGTTCTCCAGAGTTTTACATAAAATACAGAAACAAACCATTTTGGTCAACAAACAATATTTTTATTCCTCATTTTCATCCACACAACCTTCTGCTTTATTCAGTAGCGACCTCCATCATCAGTTATGTGTCTGTTTTTATCGTTAACTAATCAATAATTGTGTTAAACTGAGATTTGCAGATTTGGTTCCAGTCTGGTGTGACTGTGTTTATTTTTTAAATTAATTTTCCCTTTTTTCCTGGCTTTATATATTTAATTAAACCTGTTCAGGCTCAACACAACCAAGTTCTCGCTCAGCATGTAGAAAAACGGACTCTTGTTGTCGTTCTGTCGTGTTTTCTGGCTCCGGTTTTGTCGTGTCCGGTTCTGACCCGTTGCCGTCCTCGTCGCTGCAGGTGCTCTGGGTTTCCCCATGCGGGGGATGAACAGCAGCGCGGCGCCGCAGTTAAGTCGAAGTGGACTGAACCAGTCGGCCGGTCAACTGTCGAGTCACAGCAGCACGCCCAACGCCGGCACCATGCACACGCCGACGTCGCCGAGCAGGTAAAGCTCACCTGGACACCTGAGACACAATCAGGGGTTTGTTCGGTTGTTTCTGCGTCACAGGATCAGAATAAAAACACAAAACTAAAAAGGTTCACAGTTTGTTCTGAGCTTCTTTATTTTAATCAAAGTCACACATTTGTCGCCTTAATTTGACCTAAAACCTGATTATTGATGAAGCTGCAGCTGATCAAAATCCTCAAGATGTTCAATTAAATCGTAGTTTTAGAAAAGAAAAGTTGAAAAGATTAAGTTTAGATGGTGATAAAAGTCGTTTCAATCTCAGTTTATTCTCAGTGATAATGGACCGACCACATTAATTAATGTAGATTTACCCGAGTTTCATCATGTCCTGTAACTGAACTAATCGATTAATTAACTCGTAGCTCGTTATTGCACCACTTCCTGATGACATCACTGGTCAATATTATAGGACTTAGAAATAAAATGAGGAGAAACTGATGATATTACCTATTGAATTTTTATTTTATGGACACATTTTCTTCATATTTTCATGTATTTTTTAACAGTTGTTAATCAAACGGTGCTTCTTTCTTTCTTTCTTGATTTCATCATAAACTTATTGTTTGAACTTCCAGTAAATCGCCTGATTGTCTGTTTCTTGGTTGTAAAACGCTTTCAGCTGCATTTTGTCTCCAAAACTTCTTCTATAAATAAAATCTGTTGCGTTTAGTAGCTGCAGTGTCACACTTGAGAACATATTTCACATCATTTCTGTGTTTTAAATCAGAATTCTTTCTGTTTTTTTGCATTAAATCTCATGAGAGGTTCATTATAATGAAGTGACTTTGGTTAATTAATCTGCAGAGTTTGATCTCGGCTGTGTGGAGGTTTGGTGTCGAGTGAAGCTCGTGTTTTTCTTGTTGCTTTAACGATAAGTCTTGGTTCTGTGCGCAGAGCGATCCTGCCGCTGAGCCGGAGCGTCCTGAACCACAGCCAGCAGGTCGGCGGTCCGACCGGCCAGGCGGGCGGGATGGGAGGCGGAGGGGGAGGCGAGCGGGGAGGCGGAGGTCGGAGCGGCAGCATGGGGAGCCCCAGCCGGTCGTCGCCGAGCATCATCGGGATGCCCAAGCAGCAGCAGGGACGGCAGCCGTTCACCATCAACAGGTAACGCTCACCTGGACGGCTCAGAGTCGGTTTTATTTACCCACAGGAGACAGAAAAGGTCAGTAGATTAGCTTCAGCTGCAGCTCTCGTTTGGTTTCAACAGGATTTTATTGTTAGTGACGTGAAAGAATCCACGTTTTAGTGACTTTGTGACGTTTATATGGTGAGTTTTTGTTGTTATTTTACATCCAAAAGTGAGATTTATGAGCTAGAAGTTAAAACAGTTTTATAGAATAAAACCACAACCTTCAAGTGTTTCAGTTAAAGCTGCATATTTACAGTGTGGCAGGTAATAAACTGATTAAATCTGTGAGAAACGTGAGCGTCAGCATCCTGTTAGTCCCACTTTTAAATCGGAATATAAAAAATAGTTTGATGAGTGGTTTAAAATGTGACGGTAGAAGCTCGTCTGTGTTCCTGTCGGCTGGGTTTCATTCAAATACAACAAAATAAAAAGCTGCTTCACAACCTGTAGACGTGAACGTAGAGCTACGAGTTAGACTGAAAACATCAAATGTTCTGAACTCGTGTCTGTCTGTGTGTCAGTATGTCAGGGTTCGGCGTGAACAGGAATCCGGGCTTCAACATGAACAACTCGCTTTCCAACAACATCTTCAACGGCACAGGTCAGAGAAAAGACGTCAGGTCGTAACGTTGTCGTGTTTTTATTGTCGCGCAGCGGCTAAACGTGTTGTGTTTCCTCGTGCAGACGGCAGCGAGAATGTGACGGGTTTGGATCTGTCGGATTTCCCGGCGTTAGCTGACAGGAGTCGGAGGGACGGAGGTTCGAATCCAACCCCGCTGCTCAACCCGCTGGCCGGTCGGGCTCCTTACGGTGAGACCAGAGAACACTAGAAACACATTAATGACACCGTGGACTCTAAAGTCTGCGTGTTTCGTACTACTGTGTTATTTTTATTCACTGTGGGCTCATTTTATTCACTGTGGGCTCATTTTATTCACTGTGGGTTCATTTTATTCACTGTGGGCTCATTTTATTCACTGTGGGTTCATTTTATTTACTGTGGGCTAATCCTTCTTTACTGTATGAAACTGTGTTAAATGAGAGTTAAAACAATCCCAGAGGACAAACATGACCTCTGATGTCTTTTCTTTAAATGTGATAAATATGTGAACTTGTGTGCTGATGAAGTCGTGCTCTGCTGTTTCATGCTCTCCTGTGTCTCCATATTACATTAATAGGCTGTCATTGGTCTGTTTCTCCAGTTGGCATGGTAACCAAGCCGTCCAGTGAGCAGTCGCAGGACTTCTCCATCCACAACGAGGACTTCCCGGCCCTCCCCGGGCCCAACTACCAAACAAAAGACCCCACCAGCACCAACGAGGACAGCAAAACGGTGCGACTCCGGCTCCCTCGCACTTCTACTGTCGCTACGTTATTTCTTATTTAACTAATCTGAACTTTTCCCTCGTTCTCCGTCCGACCAGAATCTGAACTCTTCAGGAAAGCCCACCTCCAACTCAGACGGTCCAAAGTTCCCCGGCGACAAGAGCTCTGCTCCCAGCAACAACAACCAGCAGAAGAAAGGGATCCAGGTGCTTCCTGACGGTGAGAAACACACAAAGCGTCACCTCAGTGTAAGCCTGGGTTCTCTAGAGATCAGGTTAACTTCAGCCTGGGTTCTCTAGAGATCAGGTTAACTTAAGCCTGGGTTCTCTAGAGATCAGGTTAACTTAAGCCTGGAGCTCAGTTTGACACTGACAGAGTTGCATTATGGGTTGTTTTTAGCATCACTACTGCTGTTTGAGTTTCTGGAGGCTCCTGTGATCCGTTTCACTGGAATAAAAAAGGAAAGAAATCCAAAACCAATGAAAACGAGAGTGTCTGTGGTGACGAGAAAATCCGTTAAACCACCAAGAAATCCAGATTTCACAGACGAGGAGGTCAAGAAAACAAAACCAGTGGTTATAATGATAACAGCAGAAACGTGACTTTGATGTGATTCCTGCCTGAACACAGAAGCTGAACCACAGATGAACCGGACCTTCTGTTTATATCTGACAGAACCAGCTTCTATTAAAACACCGTCCTGATGTAACGGGTCAGGCTTCACCGACAAGACGACACCAAGCCGTTGTCAGAGGCTCCAGATGGTCTTGGTTCCGTCTCAGCCTGGAGTTAATCAGCTTCCTGTGCCGACGAGTCTTAATTAGCATCAACTAGCTTCACATCAACGTGAAGACGCTTAATATTTGTAAAATATTTTACCCAGAAAATACGTAAATCTTTTGTCAGACTTCTGTAAACGGGTCGAACTTAAATCCTCGCCTACTGAACATTGGATGGACGCTGCGGTTTACAGAGGTTCCCTGAACGCCTCACGTTTTTAAACTCCAGTCAGACATGAATCGAGCATCACATTCAACCACTAAAGCTTCACGTTATTAACCGTAAATAACTGTAATCTGACATTTTAATCAAGAAATAATAGCGTTCTTTACTATTTCATGTAAAACAGTGAATTTAAAAGTTCCTGGATAACAATAATAATTCTATTTTAGCGTTAAAAGCATCGTTCTGGTTAAAGATCTTCTCCATGCTGGTGTATTAACCATCAGTGCTGCTGACTGAGGGTATGAACCGGACTCTGGGTGGAGGTCCGATACGTTCATTAAGCTGTAAAAAGGCTGTTTTATAGAAGCTCATGAATGTCTCCATCATTTCATAGTTTGATTAGTTTTTATTTAACTTCGCAGTGACTGAACGTTTGTTCTTCAGCTGAACTCTTTATTGTGATTCATTCGTTTCATTTTCTAAATAATCGTCACAGTAACAGCTGCAGGAAGTGACAGAAGAAGAAGAACGCAGCAGCTGCTAAACCCGCCTTAAGAGGCGCAAAAACATTCTGAGAGTCATCAAACACTAATGCGAACATTTTAACTCCAACACTTAAAAAAAAAACATCCGGTTATCTGGGTCGGGTCTCCGTCTAAACCTTGTTGGTGTGTTTGTGCGTCGCAGGGCGTGTGACCAACATCCCCGTCGGCATGGTAACGGACCAGTTCGGGATGATCGGCCTGCTGACGTTCATCCGGGCGGCGGAGACGGACCCCGGCATGGTCCACCTGGCGCTGGGCTCCGACCTCACGACGCTGGGCCTCAACCTCAACTCGCCCGAGTACGAAGCGCTCACAGGGTTCAGGTTTCATTCAGCAGCTGCTGTTTTTTTATCTCTAAATGACTGTCGCTGTGTTTCCTTCCCTTCAGGAACTTGTATCCTAAGTTTGCGTCTCCGTGGGCGTCGGCTCCGTGTCGACCGCAGGACATAGGTGAGTCTGACACATGTTTAACTAACTTAACTGTGAGTATTGATGAGGTGAACACAAACATGACTCATCAATAATCGTATTTATATCAGATCTGTCGGTGGTTCAACGTCTGGTTCCATAAAGAGAAAAGTTCGACATCAACAGAGTCCCATCGCGGCTACGTTTGACTTAGAGCTATGAAAATCGGTGCACTGATGTAGCAGCTCAGGACACACAAAAAAGTCCATCAGCGCGTTTCCCTAAACCCAACAGGAAGTCCGCCATTTTGAAAAATTGGCAAGCTGCCCCACGGTTTTCCTTCGTTTTTGGCCATTTTCAAAATCTCTCTCCTCCTTGGGGGAACGTCGTACACACCTGGAATTCGGCCAGCACCAACTACAGGACGTGGTGATTAAAAGTTATTAAAACGCTCCGCAGCAGTCTGACGGCGTGGAAATGGCGGCCCGCGCAATTTCGATCAAAGGCCATTTTGCCTATTTTCGCTGTGTTTCCGCCGTTCAGCGGAGTCCCGTCGGCAGGCCGTTTCACTTCGACCTACACGAGTCGGTGGTCATGTGTAGCAGGTTGGGACGCACGTAAAACTTAATCAGCGCCAAGCCCTAAACCCAACAGGAAGTCCGCCATTTTGAAAAAACATGGCGCCATAAAAGGGGACGTGCTGTGTAGCTGAGCTGTAGATGCTCCGATCGGCCTGAAACTTTAGACACGTTCTCCGAGTCCAAACTAGAGCGTGTTGCCAGTACGCCACGCCACGCCATGCACGCCGCCACGGCTCGCCATTAAACAGGAAGTGGCTTGTATCTAGGCCGCATATGCTCCGATCTGCCCCAAACTGGACACGCCGGATCAGAGTCCCGTCCGGAGCACGTTTCTGCCAAACCCCGACGTACGCGAAGGCCGACAATCGCTTGCGGCTTTAGTTTTATTTTATTCTGGGTCACACAAATGAATAAATCCAGTCCTGCTCTCGACTCCAGAGCTGCTTGTCGACCTGTTTCTGAGTTCTTCTGCTCTGAAGTGGCCAAAATGAATCAGTGCAGCTTTAATGAGGCGCTTTTAACGTCTTTTTGTTTCCTTTTGTCCATTTTTGCCTCCTTCTCCTGCAGACTTTCATGTTCCCTCAGAGTATTTAACCAACATCCACATAAGGGACAAGGTGAGTCCGTCTAAACAACACCACACTTACACTTTTTATTCTGATTACAACAGTGGGTTTATAACAGCTGAAATGTGTCTTTACTCTCCGTTTTCTCTCCTCGTCGACCTCCACAGTTAGCAGCTATCAAGTTGTCTCGATACGGTGAAGATCTGCTGTTTTATCTCTACTATATGAACGGAGGAGACTTACTACAACTCCTGGCTGCAGTAGAACTGTAAGAAAACATCTAAAATACACTCTGATGCTTGTTTTCATCACGTTTTCTGTCTCGTTATTTGTCTTGTAAGTTGTTTTTTAAGACGTTCGATCATTTTTGAACACATTTGGATGTTTTTGTGGCTTGTTTTGCAGAGTCGGGTGGTTTTATTCCTGGTTTTTAATTCGATTTTGGTTTAAATACACACACGTTCCCCCAAAAACGGTTTGCAAACTGTGATTTTAGTAAATTTCTGCAGAAATAACTGATGATTATATACGTTAATGATGTTTCTTATGTTGAAAATGACTCAAATTGTCCAAAAAGAAGAAATAAATGATAATTATGTGTAATTTTCAGCAATATTAAGTCGCTATGTTGCTCTTCTAGGTGAGGTTTGGTGTATTTTTCTGGAAAACCGCAAGTTTTTCGACTAAAAAACAAACAGCTCGACACATTTAATGTGCCGACACAGGAAGCATCTTGTGTAATTTAAAGTTAAAGATGGAGATTCATCTTCAACGACAGAAACCGAGAACTAAACGTCTGTAGAAACACGACGTCGTGTGAAACCCGTCGCCCACCGTGTGCTCCTGTGTGCAGCTTTAACAGGGACTGGCGGTACCATAAAGAGGAGCGGGTTTGGATCACCAGAGCTCCGGGGATGGAGCCCACGCTGAAGACCAACGCCTACGAGAGAGGGACCTACTACTTCTTCGACTGCCTCAACTGGAGGAAAGTGGCCAAGGTGAGGAAAACAAACGCACACTTTAAACCTCAATTAGCAACAAACACGTCTTTATATCAATACGTTTGATCAAATATCCGATCAAACGTCATTGATATCCGGAAATACTACAGAGTTCGTCTACATTTTTTTGCTGTCAAATCTGTTTTTCTTGTGGTTTTTAAATTTCTCTGTGTTGATTTTTGCGTCCATTTCAACTCTCTTCAGTTGTTTGGTTTCTTTTGCAGGGAATTAGCCTTTTTTACAAATGTCCAAATCAGGTTTTTGTGCCTAGTTTGTGTCATTTAACGTGTAGTATTTATGCTGATATCATTTTCCCGGATAATTCTACAGTCCGTTGTGTATCGTAGACCAGCTGCAGTACCTGGTTGTTCCACCAGGTGGAGCCTCTTCCTGTTTAATCCTGTAGAGACCAGAGGAGGCGTCACTCAGACTACAGCTCATGGTGGCAGCAGAGAGCATTGTGGGAGTTTAGCAGCAACGGGACCATGTGGTGGTTAATGACCTCCGACTAGAGCAAAAGTGGTTTTGGATTAATTTTTCTCATTTTGGGCAACATTTGAAACACTTTCTGACAATTCTTGAGGAATTTTGGACTAACTGGAAGACATTTAGGACAAGTATCGAGGCATTTTGAACGAGCTTTGAGTAGTTTTGGAAACATTTTAGTCACTGTGGAGAAGCTTCATGATTTTTTTGGTCAAACTGCAGTACCTGGTTGTTCCAGCAGGTGGAGCCTCTCTCTGTTTAGCCTGGTAGATACCAGAGGAGGTGTCTGAACGGTGCATGTGTTAAATGATGAAGCTGGGTTTGATTAGAAAAAACATTTCTGCTGTTTATGCGATCTGTGTCTTGTGTTTCTGGCTAAAAACATAAATATTTGCACACGACAGTGAACCGAAGTGCTTCGTTTGTAGCTTGAATTAAACGACAACGTGGACGCTCCTGCTCGTGATGTTCAGTTTTCAGCAGAACAAGTTTCTCTTCGTCGCTCTTTGCAGCGTCGTTTGTGTAGCTTCGCCTCAGACAGTCGTGGCTGTTGTGAAATCCAGGTTGAAAATAAGGTTCGTCGAGAACAGCGCTACTTCCTGTTAGCTCGCTAGCGTTTCCCACACAGACCTCGATGTTCAGGTTTCACACAAACGCTGAATTTCTGTGACCGTTAGATGTGTGATGGAGTCAATCCTGCTTCCTTGTTTTCAGGAGTTTCATCTGGAATACGACAAACTAGAAGAGCGACCTCACGTTCCCTCCACCTTCAACTACAATCCTGCCCAGCAGGCCTTCTGATTGGCTGATCCTCCTCCTGCCTGCCTGCCATTGGCCCTCCTGGCTCCACCCACCAACCCACCGTCACCTGTTTAGGTTTCCTCCACCTGCACACACTCAGATCAATCAGGCCTGAAAGGACTCGGGACGCCTCCTGATGCCCGACAGACTTTATCGTTTTAACTTCTGAGTTTCGTTTGTTCTTTACCTCATTTTTTTTTTTTTTTTTTTAATCTCCCACTTCTTCCTCCATGAGTTTGGTTCCAGCTCAGTCCAACACCAACAGCACTGCAAATAAGTGTCCATCCGACCGAGTGAGCCACGTTCCTGCTCGGTCTTAAGAATCGACTATTTTTGTCTAAGAAGCTTTTAAGGAGAACCAGATTTTAAACGCGGGACTCGGCCACCCGTCAGGATGGACGCTTATTTCGCTCTGTGTCGCACTTCAGCTCCAAATATTTATCTTCACTCTGACCAGGTTTTTGTTTTGTTTTTCTCCAGCGTCAGACAGTCAGGAGGCGAAATGCAATGTACATTGTAGCACTATTTCATAATAAAAGAAGGAAAAACACCTTTTATTTGGGGGGTTGTTGATTTGATCTGCTTTAATTCAGCAGCTAGAAACCGACTCGGAGCTCAGAGACGTCACTTTTAGTCGAACACGTTGGGATTTTCTCCAAACCGACTTCTTGTTGTCAACAAACCGACACAAACTAAACTAAACTACATTCATCTGTTTGGTAGTTTCTGATCAAAATGGGGAAAAACGTCGACAGAACAGCCAAAGACGTTCAGTTTGCTGCCGCAGAGTACGAAGAAAAACATAAATATGAACGTTTAAGACGCCGCAATCAGAGAATTTACTGTTTTTTTTCCCTTCAAAATCTACTCAGACTGATAAACCAGGAAAATAGTTGGTGAATCATTTAAAAATCAACAAGCTTCGTGTTAAACATCTTTGTAAAGCTTCTTAAATGTGTTGTTTCATTTCTTAATTAACGATAAATGAGATTTATTCAGTTTCAGCGGCGGTTTGATCCACATGTTGGTGCTTCAGTGCAGCGATTTGCCACTTTATCGGCTCAAAGAAAACAAAAACGATCTTTAATCTTCACCGATGAACATTTTTAAGAACAAAAACTAAACTGAGTCCAGATTTTAGAAGCTACTTGAGAAACCCACCAGCTGATGGAGGAAACCTGAACTCTTCTTGATTCTTTCGTTTGTTGACAATAAGAAAAACTTTTAACGCGTCTTTAAATTCAAGCGACTGGTTTGTTTTCCTTTTTATTGGGCTAAAGTCTGAACACGTTGCTCAGCTTCCATCCACTGCTTCCATCTGTTCTTCTGTTCCTTCACAGCTTCCATCACCTCCTCATCTTTGTTCCTTTCATTTATTCCCCACATTCACTCACAGGGTGTTTTTCACCGGGTTCCCGTCAGACTGATCAGAACATTTCTCTTTCTCGCCGAGATTCAGACGTTCCACCATTTTTTTTTTTTTTTTTACACTAAATAGGAAGCTACAGCCACAAGCTAGTTAGCGTAGCTTAGCATAAAGAATGGAAACGGAGGGAAACTGCTAGCGCGGTTCTGTCCAGCAGGGAACAAAACCACCCGCGAGGCTCCTGATTGTAACGTTTTTGTTTAATTTGCACAAAACTAAAGTGTAAAAACAACAAATTAACATTTAATGAAGGTTGTTCGTCGATTTGGTTTGAAACCGCGACGTTTTTCTACGCTTGGGTGCAGCTCAAGCTAAATATCAGTGAGTTTAACGGGTGTTTTGTTTGATTTTTCAGTTTTTTATGCTAAGCTAAGCTAACTGGCGCACATTTTCCTGAACAAAGAGTCTGAGTCTCGGCGCAAAAGCTAAATTTTCTCTAAAAGTGTCAAAGTTTTTTCTTTTAAGCTCCACCAAAAGACCAAAACCAACCAAAAGAGTTTTTTTTTTTTTTTTTTTTTTTTAAACATAATTTATTGATTTTAATTTGCCACGTTATTTTTTCCCTCCAGGAGGCACCGATGCACACTTATGTATATATATCTGGATAAATATATATACATAAACGCGAGGCAGTATTTTTAAGAAAAAGGTCGAAAACAAACAAAAAAAACAAACAAAAAAAAAACAGAGAAAATTTGCCCCAAACGAGGAGCCCCTCCCTCCTCTGCTGGCCAGATGCAATACTGACGCCTCCCGTTGCCGTGGAAACCGCCGCCAGGGAGACGGTTTCCGGGGGGAGACCACCGCCGACTCCGCCCGCCCGCCACACCGACCAACCACCTTCCAGCTCTTGACCGTCGCCGTGGCAGCAACAGCAGCAGCGCCGGTTGCCGTGACCACAGGGGCCAGCAGCAAACGCCAAGGACACGCCCCCCACAGACCGTGTGACCTGTCTGAGACGATCCGATTGGAGGACGAGGACTGAGGCACTTGGCCGTAGGCTGTTTTATTAAATATGGCAGCTAGTGTTTTAATAGGAAAAAGAATAAAATAAATATTCTGGTAATGAAACTGAACCTCGACTCCGGAGCCTCTTTATTTATTTATTTATGTTTGTTTGTTTGTTTGTTTTGTTTTGTGCAAAATGCAGTTTTTGTTTTTCAGATCTGAGCAGCTGCTGATGAAGATTTACCTGCTGACTCATCAGAAAACTGACTAATTATAATTAATCAGGTTAATCAGGAGATCATCGGGTCATGATGTTAGAAAACTGGATTCATGTTTGGTTAAAAAAAAAACAACTAATTTGTGGTTGTAATGCTACGGAGCAGTGAGAGGCCAAATTACAAACATAATTCAATAAAAGAATTAAAAAATAAAAGTGGAAATAAAAAGAATAAATAATGTGGCGATATTAATCAAAAATGAATCCATAAAAGAAAAGCCTGATAAAAGTAGAAATATAAAGACAAATAAATAAAATAATAAAAACTAATAATTTATTTATTGTTTTTGTATTTGTAAAATGTATTTATTTGTAGATTTTTTAAATCATTTTTTTTTTATTTTACTTTTTATTATTTTTTAAGTTATTTCATTTTTATTATTTTTTTGTGAATTTTTTATTTGCTTTATTTATTTTTTTATTTTAAGGCGCTTTTTTAATGTTTTATAAAATGTTTTCGTGCTTGTTCAGCGTCTCTTTGTTCAGGTTTCTGGTTTTATTTTGGGTCGTTTTGTGTCTCGTTCCTGGTGGTTTGTGTTGCTTTTGCAGCTTTTAGGCGATTTTTGCATCTATTTCGGGTTCTGTTGCGTCTTTGTGGTCGTTCCACCGTGTTCTGAATGTTTTTTGAGTGTTTTTTGCCTCTTTATGGTGATTTTCTTTGTGTAATCGTTGCTGTCAGTATTTTTTCATGCAATTGTGCTTTGTGTCTGTTTCTGGCGTCAACTTTTGGAGTAAATCTGAAGAATGAACAGTTCAGTCTGAAAGCAGACGTGGTTCAGAGAACAGAGCAGTGAGTAAATAAGTCAAAGCAGTGAACAAATGATGACATGAATCCTGGAGAAGCTCAAACTTCTGGATCAGTGCCTCTGAAGGAGGGTTTTCCTTCTTAACTGCATTTTGGTTTTGTGTTGCTCTTGTTGGTTCTGTTCAGGTTGTAAATGCTGGTTCAGTGTTTGTCCACAGGATGGCGCCGTGAGCCAACGCACGCTCAGCAGGCAGCAGGTACAACAGAACACCAGCAGAGTAGAACCGGTCCTGATTCATCGATAACTTCATCTATAAGTTATAACAACACATCCTGGAATAATTCACTGTCAGAGTTTCTGCAACGTGTAGATTTTGTTCAGAGTTTATTTGTTGTTTGGAACCAAAAACTGAGTTCTGTCAAATATTTTGTCTAAATTTTTAGAATTCCACATTTTCAAATCTGAGAATGTTTTTGCTTCCAACATGATCCAACGGATCC